TGAAACTTGGTAGGAGGTATCTCAAAGGTTTATGATGCTATGTTTGAAGAACTGCTAACAGGGCTTGACAGCATCCTTTATGGAGGGAATTAAAGATATTCAATCATTATTCAAAACATTTTGAACTGACTGACTAGAATAGTTGTGCATTTCAAAGAAATGGAAAATACTGAAGGATCACTTTTGGAAAGAAAATTATGTAGGGAGATTAAGAAAGTTCTAATTACCATGACAACAGATAGGGAGTCACAGGAATAGGGCCTCATAAGATTTATATGACTAGAGGCACAACCCTGAAATCTTTATAGTTAACAGAAGTTTTATGATTTGGGTTGGGAGCATGGCTCTGTTGGTGAGGTACTTGCAGTGAAAGCATGATGGCTTAAGTCTGGTCTCCAAAACCTGTGTCAAAGACATTGACTTTAAAGATAACTTCTTTAAAGGCAAAGACAGAAGGATCCCTGTGCCTTCCAGACCTGCAGATTAGCCAAATCAGTAAACCCTTTGGTCAAGGGGAAATCCTGTCTCAACAAACTAAGGTGAAGTTGTAGGTGACTGAGATATGGCTTACCAGTGAAGAACATTTGTTATTCTACTAGGGGTCCAGATTCATAACTTTCCCACCCTTTTCAGGCATACACACACACACACACACACACACACACACACACACACAGAGAGAGAGAGAGAGAGAGAGAGAGAGACAGAGAGACAGAGAGACAGAGAGACAGAGAGACAGAGAGAGAGAGAGAGAGAGAGAGAGAGAGAGAGAGAGAAGAGAAAGATAGAGCCAAGTAAACACAGACACAGAAGTCCCATGGTTTGATTAACTGTCAAGGAAGACTATAGACAGATAAGTAAAGATGATTAAAGAAAGACAATGGGTTGTACTAAGCTTTTTTGTTCAGACTGCCAGACCAGAAATCATGAATACTTCTTATTAATTATGAAAATTTGGCCTTAGCTTAGGTTTTTTTCTAACCAGTTCTTATAACTTAATTAGCCCACATTTTGATCTATGTTCTGCAACGTGGTTCAGTTACCTCTCTTCAGTATGGCATGTCTGATATGCTCTGAGTCTGCTGATGTCTCCATCATTTTTCTCCCCAGGTTTTCTGTGTCCCTGGAAGTTCTGACAACCTCTACCTGCCTAGCAATTGGCCATTCAGCTCTTTATTAAACCAATCACAGTGACATATCTTCAGACAGTGCAATATAATATCCTGCAACATTTTCCCCTTTTTGTCTAAAGAAATAGGAACTCTAACACAATAAAACTTTCTCTAATAAGAACAATTATCAAATAAGTATTATATTCACAATGTCCTGACCGTCTGTATTTGGCAAATTCAGAAAAAAATATTGTAGTATCTATCCTATCTTAGTGAGTCCAAAGTTTTATGCCTAAACCATTTTTATAATAATTTGTATTACCATCCCAAAAATACCTCTTTAGACCTTAAAACATCTTAGAAAAAACAACTTAAGATTTTATGTCTCTGAACTTTATATACTTTACATCTTTTATATAATTTTTTCTTTCTTAAATTTGGTAACAAGAAAAACTATATAACTATCTAGTATTCAATCCCTATCAGAGGCCCAAGAAAGATAAAATGTTACTCAAATAAATAGGAAGTGTAGAGCAAACTACTTCTAAAACTAAAGATATGACAGATATCTGGCTGCTTGGACAGTCACTTCCCCAATGTTCCTATGCAACGTTCCTATGCAGGACTAGAATAGCTGATAAACTTTACTGTGAAGAAGAAAATTTTGAGAGATTGTCATATTTTGTCTTGGCAAAGTTTGACAGTCACCTTCCATTGTTTATTGCTTGTCCAATTTGGAGAACATTCTGTCAGCAATTGAAGCAAAGTCAATTTCTTGCCTACTGTCTAACTTTTCCACAATAAAAGCAAACTCCATTTGGAGGTTCTTCAATGCCCATCATACTTTTGTGAAGTAAATTGGTGCTGTCAGAAGCATACCTGTCTCACTGTTATAAAAATTCTCATGTTATTAAAACCTCTTAAGTGCCATATTCTGTGGGTCTCTGAAGTATTTGAAGACTTATTATTTATTAGAATAGATCTGTTTAATCTCGAAAACCTACCTAACCTGACTACAAGTTTCATTGCTATAGATGACTAATTACTAACTTGTATTTTTTAAGAATGCATTACCTTTTTAAATGAACGATATAGGTACAATACCTTAAACAAGAGTTGAAACAAAGACAGAGTATGTTCTAGCAAAATAATCTTAAATTTGTATCAATATATAAAAATCCACACCATTGTAAAAATATTTGAGATTAATAGTCACTTGTTAGTTTTAAAATAGATAATCTACCCTTTTATTTTATATCCCCCTTTTTCTGTTCAGAAAAAGGTCCCTAAATCTACTTGCCCTTGCTTAGTTTCCTCCTGACCATTACCAATAACAGCTTGTAAACAACCCCCACTAAAGGATCATCCACTTAATGACCAGAAACCACCAACCCCACCTCTTTGAAATGATCTCTAGACTGCTTCCTGTTGTCTGGGGGTGATGGCATATTTAGGGGACTCAGAAAATTGGGATAATGGTCAAGTCCTGGGAGTGATATCTATATTATTTTTGTTTAATCTCTATTTGATGGGAAAGTTTCCAGCTTATCTGAAATCTTAACTGGAATAGTCTGTGAGGTAACCATCTCAACTAGCATATTTGAAGGTTGTTCTGGATGCATATTTTTGAGGAAACTGCAACAGAGGCTTTTTGGGAGGCTGAATTACCTGGGGTACTTGTGTTTGTTGGTATCTGGTCCTTTTTTATGAAAACACATAGACTTCTAAAGGTAACATATATATCTGCATTAACACAAGTATGGAATGTGCAGCGTGCACAAATTAGCTAAAGACGACTTTCTGTTTTATGTTTGAGCAGGTGAAAATCATCTGTCAACTTTATAAGTCCATTTTAATTTTATAACTAAACCTCCACCCATGCCATATTAAAGGATGGCATGTAGTAAGTCATGAGGATTCTGTAGCCAGAATTTTCATGAGCTGTTTCCGTGCAGAGAAATCAACATACATATCATCTGTCTTGTCTTTCCTGGCTTTTCCCCTCATGTCTCTACCCAAGATCCTCAGGAGATCTCCCCTCGTTAGATTTGATCTCAATTAACTTTGAAGGAATCCATTGCTTTTTGTTTTCTGTGGAAACAAAAGCTCAGCCTCTTTCCTAACACAATATACTGTTCGACATTGATTTTGAAGCCAAGACATCCCTAAGGTGTATAGGTTGGTTTACTTCAGCAGTACTTTCCATAGTCCACTGTCTCTCAGAACATAATGTATTCTCTGCTCATTAGTATTCAAAAATTCAAAATTGACAAAGAACCATACAAAGTCCAAACTCCCTATGTTATAATATTTTCCATCCTTAGGTGACTTATTTTCTTCATATAACTTTACTCTCTGTTTAAAGACTTTATTATTTTTAAACTATTTTTCCTATGACTGTCTATACTCATTTTCTTCTTCAGCACCTAAGCCACTTTTAAGCATACTGACTTTTTAGGGGATTTTTTTGTGTCTGGACCTGGCTTTCTGCATGTCTGCAGTGTTCTCTGACCACATGAGTCAAGCCTTAAAGTACAGTCCATCCACTATGTGGTTTTGCTTAGCAGATAACATTGGAGGCTGGCTCAAGCCCAAAGGCAATGGCTGGAAACCACACCTTTGTATGCTGTGAGTATTGGCCAGCTTGAGAGACTGTGGGACTAGAAAGCCACATCTGGCTCCTTGTCCAGAACATTCTTTTTAGCTTTGTCAGACCTTACGTTTGGACACATGAGCCTGCATGTGGGATACCATGTGTAATCAGCTTTCTCATGGAGATGTCCATCCTGCAAATTATAACATGGACATTTCTTAGTTTAGGCTCTTTTTTCTAACTAGTTCTTATAAATTAATTAACCCATGATTTTAATCTATGTTCTTCAAACTGTCTCGGTTTTCTTTCTTCAGTATAGCATGTCTGACCTGTTCTGAGTCTGCTGGCATCTCTGTCTTTCTTCTTCTGAGAGTCCTGTGTTCCTGGAAGTCCTGTCTAATCTCTTCCTGACTAGCTACTGGTCATTCAGCTTTTTATTACACCAATCACAGCAATACCTGTTCACAGTGTACAAATAACCTGCAACATCTTGGGGTGACTATCCAAGCACCCAGATATCTCTATCATTTCTGTAGTTTTGGAAGTTGCTTGCTCTGCAGTAGGGGTTGTCTACTAGTTTATAACAGTAAGCAAGAGGGTAAAACCAAGGTAGATTATCAGAGAGCAAGAGTAAACTAGTTGTAGTGAGATGTAAAAGGAGAAAGAGCCAAGTCCAAGCCTGCAGATGATGCAGAAGCTTAAAAGGTACATGTAGTGGCATTTTCCCTTGCCAGTCAACTTGTAGCAGTGGTTTGATGTATTTTCAGGTGCGGATGTGGCTTGTTTTTCCCTAAGAAAGTGTGACTAGGCTGCTTCTTTCCTAAAGAGAAAGGTGCTGTGCTGATAGGAAAGCTGTTTGGACCTTGAAATCAGAGGAACCAGAGCCAAGTTCTAGTATTGACTGGCTGGACTACAGGATTTGAAGTGCAACTTCAAGTATAATAGCAAGCCCCTCAGAGGTTCAGTTTCCTTTCTGTAAGATGATGACAGCATCTGCCTTCCCGGGGTTTGACAATAGAGCATTCAATGCATGAGGAAAGGCTTCTCAGAATAGATGTCTTTGTTCAGATTTATTTTAAATTGGTCTCTCATTTCCTTTCTGTTAACTTCCAGATTGTGATGTTATGGAAAATCACTACCTGGATTCATGGGTGGTCATACTAATTTAATCATAATAAAGAATTCCAACAAAAGAGTCTTGTCCATTAACCTTTCCATGTGCAAAGATGAGTCTTACAGAACACATGGTTAAGAAAGCATGGTGGCCACAGCACCAGAAGCACTGGTCAGTATAGATGACAAATATACATGCCCTTGTGAACACAGCAGGATCACTGCACCCATCCTCTTTCATTTCCTATGCTCTGGTTCCTGGTAACATGTTCTGTTTATAATGGATACTTGAGAGAGATCTGGCTGTAAGAAAGTGTGACTATCAGGAAAGAAACAAAGCACTAGATAGAAGTAAACTAAATTGGAAAATTCAGAAGTCTACTAGATGGCTGTTGGCACACAGGTAAACAGGACTATATACCGCTATATAACTGTCACAAACACAGTGCTTCTTATTAAAGGATAAATATCTCAAAAACCAGGAATAGAGATCAGAAACAAAAAGATGAAAATAAAAGGTCAAATATGAGCACAAGCCTTGTGCAATTTTTAACTGTTATACATCAATAAAAGGTACAGATGTTTATGCTCTATCTGTTCTTGTTCATGAAAAGGATTGTAAAATGGTAAATCATTAGGAATACCTTTTGTTTTTATTAGTTAGCCATGGGAGAGCAATTAATAAATGCTGCAAGCAGCGATGATGTGACTAGCCTTCAAAAGTGAACTGGGTGTCTTGGTGTGCACAATGAAGAATGGCACCAACACAGCCTGCTGATAGAAATGCAAATGAGAAAGGTCCAATATCCAGAAATGACTCATAACTCCATTTTATACAATTTCAAGATTTTTTGCTCAAAATCTTATCTCCTATACCACATCCAAATATGTCATTCTAATCTGTATCTCTGTTTTAAACAGCAATGTGTCAGAATGTCTGTGTGTGTACGGAAAGCATGTCTGAAGGGATATGAGACCCAGTAATTCACATTATCTTATACACTGATTTTTCTGGCTATTTCGTTGCATCTCCCCCTTACCCTTGTCCTATGACTGTTTTACAGGCCATGGCACATGCACCTGCGGTCATTGTGTTTGTGAGAAAGGATGGTTTGGCAAACTCTGCCAACACCCACAGAAGTGTAACATGACAGAAGAACAAAGCAAGAGTTTGTGTGAGTCAGCAGATGGCACATTGTGCTCAGGGAAGGGTGAGTATCACTGCTGGAGCTGGATCCCTGCTCAGACACATGGTCCCTTAGAACAGCAGGTAGCAGCCAGTCCCTCCAGAATGAACTTTGCCTGAGAAAAGCTGTTCAGCTTGTGTGAACCCTGAGACCTGAGCATCAGCAACAGGAGGTGTGGGAACTAAGGTGCTATGCTCCTTCTTGTCTGTGCAAAAGATGGAAACCTTCCTAAGTTTTCACAAATATTTTACCAAGAGAAGACTTCATTTATATGAAAACGCAAGTGTGATTTTCTTATATTTATGTTTATAACCTTATCATAAATAGTTTTTGGCTGAGTCATGCCCAGTTGCAAACTCCATAAGGACACAAAAAGCTATACTCACCAATCCAGTGAGTTATAGTCCATTTACTCCCTAACCTGAGTTTTATGCAAAATTATTCCCTAAATATATAAACACCCATATTGAGTCCTCATTTGAGTCTCAGAGTTTTCAGCTAGGTAGGCAATTTGGATATAGAAAACACAAAAAAGTTAAGGAAGGCAAGGGAGAAGGCTCAGCAGTTAAAAGCACTTTCTAATACCCACATTGGGTGGCCTATAGCACTCAATCCAGGGGTTCACACACCCTCTTCTGACTTGCATGGCACTGAACCTAAACATGCATATTTTTAATGAAATATATCTTTTTTAAAAAGAAAAATTACAAAATTTGATTAAATATTGACCTAAAGGCATTTCCTCACAACAGAATCAAACACAAATCTCCAAATCTCTACTTAATGCTTTACCAGTTATTTGCTTCAGGTGGTGGAAGTATGATTAGAGGTCATTGAAAGTTGAGAGGGTAGATATCTATGAATTTAATCCTTCAGTGGATAGGATGCTTGGTCATGGCTAATTTCAAAGAAGAATGTAACATCTGCCCAAGGCTTTCCACTTTGAGTTTCATGGTTCACATTAATGATGGGCAAGTGGTTGAAATTCTTTTTCTCCTCCTTTCTGGAGGCATCATGTTAGGCATAGAAGAAAGGGGCTGAGGCTGAGCTCTTGAAACTGTAGTTTATCTTGGTTACAGAGGATAATGAGGATGATATTCCTGAACTCCATGGAGGGAATTGGCCTCCAAGAACAAAAGTAAAAGTAAAATATATAATGAGAGACTGGGGAATTTTCAACACGATGAATGAGAAAGGACATTTTCTCACATCCTTTCACTATGTATCTCTGATAAATCTTGTTTCTAAAATCCATGTTGGAAAACTGTTATTTTGGTGATCTCAAAGTATATAGATCCTTTTTATTCCTCTTATGGGATAGATGTGAGCCAGGGACTGGGCTGTGACTGCATGCCCTGGTATTTTGTGACCCACCCCAACCAAAACGACAAGCTTGAACTATGCACTCTGAATAAAGCATTCACTTCAGGAGACGATGAAGAAATAGCATTTTATTTCTTACAAATTTATAGCCAAGACAATAAATCACTCCATAGAAAAATTTAAAACAAGATACATTGTTGTGACCTTCATAACAGATGGTGTCATTAGTACAATAGTGAAAACTGCCTGCTAGGGTGTCAGGTTGCAGCATTTTGTCAGGCTTGATGTATGAAAAAGAAAGTCAGTAATGGGATGGGGCTTTGTCCCCAAACTGAAACTATTTTTGTAAATGGCCTAGGGAGATGTGCTTAGTGGCCATGTCACCACTAAGTTTAGCTACCTTTGCAGAATAAACGGTGGAATTTATAGGGCTTTATTTTTGTTGGTTAGTTTGAGGATTTATTTATTAACTTGGCTCCATGGTGGCACAATAATATGTTTGTCTTAATAACATTACCTTAGATCCAAGTAATCACTCCAATAGTCAGAGATGCCATTATGGGACAAGTCCTTAAATGTATGCTTAAACTGTCACAGTGATTGCTACACTCACATCATTAGTAAGTCCAGGGTATCCTCACTCATTCATCTGTTTCTCAGCTATCCCTGTTCTGTATCCTCAGAAAAGAGAATGGGAAAAAGTTATGCTTTCAAGACCAAGTTTATCCTTGTCCTAGTTACCACACGCAATATGGCTGCTTGTTACATCTGTAGACAAGAACTGTTCATTTATGAAACTATATGGATGTTTTTGTTGTGGCAGTCATCACAGATAGATGGTTAAATGGTGGGTTGAATCAGATTGAAATATTCTGCTAACTGTTTTTGGAATGTTGTCTGAGGCAATTACTCCATCCTTTCTGCTGTGCCATTCTCATCTTCAAAGGAAGTTTGTTCCTTTCTCCTCCTTAGGTCTTTAAATTGTTCTACAGATAGATGAAAATTTTCCCAACAATGAAAGCTAGCAAAAAGCACAAAGGAAAATGGGGACATTGTTAAGAGTCCTTTTGGAGAATGAAAACAAATGAGTTAATGATGTTGTGGTTGCAGGTTTATCACCCTATGGTTCCCGACATGATGGGCCAGCTGCAGTCTACGGCTTGGCTAGACCTCTAATGGGAATGGGTCGTAGCCTGCTGAATTCAACAGATGCTTGCTTTGAGCTGTTCAATAAGCTTAGACTTGTTAGACAGAATCTTCTCATGCTTTCCCTTTTTTAGATATGAATAATCCACCCCTGTTATTGGTTATTTAGAGAACATCCAGAGCTCTCTACATTTAAGGTCTATAATAGGTTCTAATGACTATATACATTGTGTTAATACTACATGCTATGTTGTTCCTGTTTATGGAGGGAGTAGAAGAATTTCCTACCAATCATCAGCAAACAGAAACAACACACCTGGGATTATGGTGACCACAAAGATTGCTTCCATAGCATACACAAAATCAAATCCCAGTTTTATTCTAACATTTTATGACATCTACTATATTTGGATCTATAATTTACTTGTCAAATATTCAGTCTACATATACCACATTGACTTTAGCTGAGCGTGCTCATTTCAGGAAAATACTTTGCTATTCTTTGCAGCTAAGCATTCCAGAAACAAAAGAAGTAATAAGAATCATTTCCAGGCAAGAGATAAGTTCCAAAGATGAAGTTTTGTAAACTCTTTAGGAATTATGGTATCCATGAAAAGGCATCCTAGGTGTGATTATGTTAATATTATATAAAATCATTTATTTCTATTGTGGAAATAACTTCATGATGTAAGAGATACTATATAAGAAACAGAAACACTTAATTCCTTAAATAGTGAATCCTTCTTCTCTTATGGAAATAATCCACTAAAAAGTATGGTCCTTTGGGTGACATCTTTGTGATATACAGTAGAGTGCCTATGTAGTTATTTCAGTAGCCATTTGTTAAATAACCAATTGATTGTCCGACATTCCCATGTCTGGAAATTTTTAAAGAAAATATGTAAATTTAGGAAAAATTTAATACTAAAATGAAGATACACTCTGCCTAGGTAAGAATTCAAGGGATCAGCTGGGCATTGGTGATGAACGCCTTTAATCCCAGCACTCGGGAGGCAGAGGCAGGCAGATCTCTGTGAGTTCCAGGCCAGCCTGGTCTCCAGAGCGAGTGCCAGGATAGGCTCCAAAGCTATTCAGAGAAACCCTGTCTCGAATAACAAACAAAAAAAAAGGAAAAGAAAAAGAAAAAGAATTCAAGGGTTCCTTATGTCTTTTCCACTAGACCAGGAGGTAAGATTCTAGGCAAACACCATGCTGTCAATCACTCCACAAAAATGGAAGACCTCCATACATTGCTTTAATAGTCTACAAGTCAACCCAAACTCTCACGAAAAAAGAGTCAAGACTAAGTGACATTGTGCTACACTTAACAAACAAAAGTAAAAATAAATACAAATGCAATTCTTACTTTATAGCTGGTTCTGACACTTGATTGCCTTGAGATGTGTGACAAGGAAAGACCAAAATGAAATTTGGTTGTGGGAGATTGTTTCACCTAAAATGAATATACCTTTTCCATACCATGAACTCACATAGCACTTAATGCTTGGGACACTTTAACTTGAATTATTTCATGATATGCATGACAGTGTCCTGTCAGTCTATTTCCCCAAGCCCCAGTTTTCCCCTCTCTGTGTCCCTAGGTTGTTGATCATTTGTCACTCACTCTATTTCAGAAGTACTCAGAACACTTCTGAGTCTCCTCTGTGTGTTTACAGCTTAATGAATTTGGAGTTTTGCTAGCCGCATTAAAAACTTTTACTGTTTCACATATTCTCAAGGTGATTTGTGACTTGAGTAACTTCATATTAAATATAAGTGTCTTTTAATAAAGGGGAATTATGTCCAGAAAGAAAAGACAAACAAGGAAATGGAAAACTCTTTGAATTCTGTAGTTGTCCTAGCTGTAGCAAAAGCAGTTCTTCTGCAAGATTTTCAAGTCTGTTTTGAAAGACATTTACACCAAGAGAAATTTATTTGAAAATTTCAAATTTGAAAATTTGAAAAATGTGATTTTACTTTAGATATGCCATTAGTAAGATTCTCAGTTACCCAAAATAGTTTAAAAACTCAATAGTGTTTTTTTTTTAAAAAAAATGAGATGCAAGGTAACCAGAAATAAGTTGATAAGGGGTAGGAAAATTGACTGGACCGGATTTGGGGTTCACTAGTACTCTTCCTGATTATAGATAAAATCCTGAAGGGAAGGTCTGAGACATCAAACAGACATGAGGGATTGTGTTTACATTTTTAGCACTTTACCTTGCCACTCAGTATGAATTATGTGTGTCCCCATTTCAAGAAAATCACATAAACAAAATTCTGCCATGGTGAGCTAAATAATTTAGTAATTATGTAATTACAAAATGAGTCTTCACTTAATATAATCTAGTGTTGGATTCCTTTAGATAACAGGGACTTTAAAATGTAATTCAATTCAAAAAGAAAGAAGCTAAGACATCTATTTTGAATACCTTTTGGGGAGACCATCTCTAAGGATGAGCCACATCCTGTTCCATTGACATTTCAGCCAGACTCGACCAAGGAACAATTGCTCCAGGCTAATTGCAACTGTCTAGATCTATAATGAAGGCTTTCCTGGATGACCTTTATGTATTTGAGTAAGTAAAGCTCTTCTCTGAGAAAGCAGCTGTTCAATAAATTTTACTTTTAGAAGATAGGTTATTACAAGCCTATTGTCAGTGTGTCAATGATACTCACTTTTTGATGGAAACTTTTATTTCTGTGGTGACAGTCAGTAACGCCCATTGTGATTTCAGGTTCTTGCCATTGTGGAAAGTGCATATGCTCTGCAGAGGAGTGGTATATTTCAGGGGAGTTTTGTGACTGTGATGACAGAGACTGTGACAAACACGATGGTCTCATTTGTACAGGTGCAGTATTGAATTACACTAATTGTTTTATGCCATGGATGACAATAGAGCCAAATGGCATCTGCCACATACTGCTTTAGATAGCCAGAGAAGGCAGCTTCCAGAGAAGGCAGCTCCATTCCACATACTCAAGTGAACAACACAGATGTGTAGTAATTCTGACAGGATAAGTGAGCATCTGTGAATACTAACCAATATTTTCCCTAGAAGATGGCAAAAAGGATGAAGCTAGATTATACAATTGTTTGGAAGCTAATCTGCCCTATAAATTTACACAAGGCTATAAATACAAATATGCAGAATTCTCTTGACAACCATTTTATTTTAACATGGTCCAGGGGAGGGGTATTGTTTTAAACAGCACTCAGATGCCACAATTGGTGTATGGGCTATTTTTAGGGAGCTGGTTATGGCTATGAATGTGTGTGTGCTGGGAAATGCAGCAACGGAGAATACAAAAGGTTTTACTGTTTAATGGGCATCACAAAGCTAATTAAATGAGTTATAATAATTAGCTATGAAAATATTGAATCAAGTTAAATAATAATATGTGTTCTCCTGAAGTTATTATTTTAATGATAAAATGTACTCATACTTAATAGAGTTCTAGTTGATTCAATATACCATTAATAAAATTCTTTCTAACCAAAATATTTTGTAATCTACCATTTTAATAAGGTTAGAGATAAATATTTTGACATGACATTAAATTAGACAATCAATTTTTCTGTCCATCTTACTATACAAGGATATTTTTCCAGCTCTCTGGCATGCCCAATTTCATATCAAGGGGCCTTATGCTTTTCAATGTTTATTTGTAATCAGACATGGATTTCTCTCAGGTGTTTAATAACATAATAATATTGTGTTATAAGACACTTTAGAGAAGATAAATGGAATAGATTTCTCATGGACAGTTATGATTCACAGTCACATATTCTAATGGTGCTTTCCTGTCATAACTATAATTCTCATGTTTATTTTACTGCAGGGAATGGAATCTGTAACTGTGGAAACTGTGAATGCTGGGATGGATGGAATGGAAACGCATGTGAGATCTGGCTTGGCACTGAATATCCTTAATGATTCCGTGGGAGACAACTGGATTCTCATTTCTAGGCCATTTTAGAAATTTAAAGGAAAGCATGTGTAAACAGCACAAGGACAGACTATTGTGTGTTTTTCTATTTCTGACTGCCTGAGGGAAACATGGGTCTTCACTAGAAATGACTTCAGCGATGTAAATTATACCACAGAGAACTGTCCCCCCCCATAGTAATTAACACCAGTGTTTCACAACTGAGGAGGGCCCTTTTGCAACCCACAAGACATTTGGCAATGTCTACAGAGAATTTGGTTGTCAGACTGGGTAGGGTATGGGTGCTTGTGCTATGGGCACTTTAGATACAGTGACCACAGACAATGCTGAATACCCTATAGAATATAGAAAGGTCCTCACAGCAAAGTATTTTCTGACATCCAAAGTTTGCTAATATGTAGCAGAAAAAAAATGCTTAATCACATGGTAATTAGGACTCCACATTCCGACAGAAGGAACACTGTATCAGAATATAAGGATGATATTTATTCTCACATAAACCAATCATTTGGATTCTTTCAGGATTCCATATGACTCTGAATTTGTATAATGGGACAATGATAACAGATACATATGATGTGTGGTAATGGGCTGAGGTTTACCAGGTCAAAGGGGCTTTAAACTCACAAGAATCTCTTACAGGAAGAAATGAAAAATGTACAATTTGACATTTTAATAAATAGTGACATAAGTTGTTTATATTCTGTGTCAATATCTATTCACCCACTGAAAGCAAACACAACAGAAAAAATGAATTGGAATACACACTTTAAATCCCAAGAACTAACAGACCATGTTTTTAAGACTAGGCATGGGTTACATGTACAAGAAATCTGACTTTTTACTCAAATTGGTTCATGTAATGTTTCCTCTGAAAAAGATAGTGTCTAGTTAGAAACACAAGGATCCTATACTGCATTCATTGTTCCTAAAAGACTTTCTTTTCTTCAAAGAAATGGTAGGGTCAACAAGAATAACACATATTTCATAAGCTCAGAAATAGACTCCAAAGTCTAAAAATAGCTTAAATCAAAATTACAAATATTCACTCAGTGATAGGAACAAAATGTTTATTTTCTTGGTGAAATTTTGTTCTGTATGAAACTCACATTTAATTATGAAAATGTACAATATCTGGGGTTCCCTTGCATATTTACAGTTAGATCTACTTATACACATAGTTGAAGCAACCATTATTTATAGCTAAAAAAATACCTTTTTCCTAAATGTGAATTATTTGTAAAATCCTAAAATAACATAGCAAAATCATTTCTGTATTGTTTTAAGATGAAATTTTTACTTGCAAATTTTATATTAATAATGTAAATATTCTAGAGTCATGGCTTGGACTTTATCAGTCAAGTCACCAAAAAGGAAAGAAAACATGCCTCCACTTAGTATTACTTAAAAAACTAAATATTGAAAAGTATTTGAAGAGTCAATTTCACTGGTGCTGGTTTTATAGTAACAACAAGGTTCTGAGAATTTAACCTATTTATAAAATTGTTGCCTCTATCCTGAGATTAGGGGACCCAGCCATATAGGTTGTATTTCTATTACTAAGCTGGCAATCAACATCAGTTTTATAAAATGAGGGAAATATAAGAAGTTAAGGTAGAGTATGGATGATTGCATTCTTTCCTCTTCTGTTTCCCCCCCTCTATATATACATTTTAACCCAGAAACAAACCAATTATAATAATTCAGTAGCAGTTCTGATGATATGTTTGGTGATATCCAAACATTGAGAGTGGGTGACCTTCCCATCATGTATAATGACTTTCAGATTTCCCTACTGCAGGACTCAGCCTTCTAAGAAGGTGTGAACAATGTGTATTAGATAAACCACTGTAGGATTTTCTTCTTTAATTGTTTAATATTTTAAAATTGTAATAAATAAATAAAAATCCATCCTGAGCTTTCCAGCCATACATAAACAGGTTATGGACTGGCTTTAATTACAGCTGTGTGTGGTAGTTTGCCAGTCTTTGCTCCCCTGGAATTACCTTCAGTTCCCTTTCATTACCAAAGGTGCATCTTTTAAAATTGTTTCTCTAGTTTTTTTTTAATGTCTATCAGTAGCATCTACCATGAAAGTATGTGTTGCTCTTCTTATATCTTCACAAGAAAAAGTGTTGAAATATCGTTAGCATACAAGTGTTCTTAGAATAGAGTTAGGACATTGGATTATTCCATGAAAGTCAAAATGTGATATCTTAAATTTTGGACAACAAGAAAATATGTTGTAGTTGGCCATGTTCTGGAGTGCATTATTACAGGTTATGGAAGGAAACTGCAGTACATATCTCACAACAACATAAACACTAATCAGTTCTTTTTCTTAGAAAACAGACTTTGAAAAAAGCTTCAATTTGTGTGTGTGTGTGTGTGTGTGTGTGTGTGTGTGTGTGTGTGTGTGTGTGTGTGTGCGTGCGTGCAAATTCCACACACTTTTGTTTAAAAAACAAAACAAAGAAACATGGTGACAGGCAAAGACATAATCTATTCCCTATCTAAATATGTTTCTATATTTTGCTTCAAAAATAGAAACTACCTCATTGAAAATGCTAAGCAAGAAAAAATTTGTAATGAGTAGGAGAAGATAAGCAAATCTCTTTGGCTTGCTTGTGTGTTTTTAAAAAATTACACTGGGACCCATGATAACTAAAAAGGGGGCATTAAGCTCACCAATGATAGTTATCCTCATCCTAATTGTTTAACAAACCATTGGTGAAGTATCCCTCCAGGGGAGTTATAAAAGTCAAAAAAAGTCCTCAAGATATGAGAAGAACCATTGTTCCTACTGCCTTTAAGGAATCCTGAGTTCATCTGGAATCCAGCAGCACCAGGGAAGGAATGGCTTACCTCTATCTGTTCAAATACAAACTCATCCTCACCAGTAGCTATCAGAATTAGACTGAATAAGAACAAGAACAAAGGAAAACAAAAATATAACAGTCTTAATTTGAAAACTCAACTGTCAACAACTTGGAAGCCCACATAGTATTCCAGATGCTCACCTAGCTGTTTGAGTCATTTTTTAAGCCAAACCCTTAACTACCTATGTCCTTTATTTCAGAACAATACAATTTACATTCTGGATTTGAGTAAGTCTATACTTAAGGAAATAATAGGGCATTTAGCTTAATTGTTTCCCAATGATATTGTCATTCCCTAAAAATGAAAAAATTGAAAATAATTTCCCTCTATTTTCACTTTCTTCTAAACTGAACCGTGTCCACTGTAGTCTCAAGCTCCTTCTTTGAGGGATATCAAACACCTATTATCCATGTAATAATTGGGAGAAATTTTTAACAAAGTAATGCTTATTTACTTTAATTAGGAACCAAGGACTTGTTGTTTTAGTTTTGCCTAATGTACCAAATTTGATATTTGATTAGGTATGATGCATTCTGATTACTTGCTAGGAAGTCAATAATAGAAAGACCAGAGCATAAGTCATGGGACCCTTTATGGATCTAGTCCTCACCCCAAAGCATCCACGATAAGCAAGCACTTAAAATAAGATTTTAAATTCTCCAGAATACATAAGGAAAGTGTGCCCAATTTCCTTTACTCTTCACACAGGGCAGACTGTTTGAGTATCTTCCATAATTTTTACCTGGGAAAACAATCAGAAATTTCTGGAAGTAAACCTATTTGGAAACAAAAATTGTGTGACTTGAATTATATAAAGGACTAATATTAATGAGCACTGTTGACGGATAAGCAAAGCAATCAGCTACCATGACAGGGTGGTAGAACTAACCCTCCCCCACCAGATATGCATGCAGAAGGAATGGGTCTCCTAGAGACATGGTACTATGGATATCCATACAGGGAGATATAAAACACACAGTCTATAAATACAAATGTGTTCCATCAGATTTACTATTCAGAACATTAGTGATGACAGATTGTACTTAATAATAGCAAACGTAATTTCTTAGGGAAGGAATGATGATCTTATTCCAGAAAATTATCAAGAGAGGTATCATCAAAGAGCTAAAATTTTCTTTGGCATGGTAAAGGGGAAAATTGATTTCATCAACTTATTTACAGAGAGTTCTCTATATTTGGAGTGATACAATGCCATTTTGTTACATCAAGTTAATTGATGGTTTCCATATGCTTTCAAATGAGGATTTTATTAGATATGTTGTATCTGTGAATACAACAAATGGCAAGAAACACAAATTGTACAATACAGACAAGCTCTCTGTATGTAAATGAAAAATACATACCAGTGCTTCTGGATACATGGGTCCTAGTACATGTAGCTCATTTGGTGCTTTCCTCTTCCCATGCAATAGGTGAGACCAGACCCAAAGGAAATGGCCTAACTAATTCAAAGATATAACAAGGACCCCTCTGCATGTATCTAAACATATATTAGAAGAAACCACTTGGATACCTACCTACAGTAACGCATTCTCTCATAGACAACTGACAACTCTTAGAAAACAATACAGAAAAATTAACATAAATCTCAATCATTTACAAAAATAAATCTTGTCTTAATTTTAAGCACTATCCAGGTCTTGACAACAGAAATCTCAAGTAGGGTTCATATCAAAAACAGAAAGGTAGGTTGATTTAGGGTGTGTGTACATGGGGATGGGTAGAAACTGTGTTTGTAAGGGCAACTGATAGGAATACAAGTAATTCGTATTTTGCAACATATTAATTGGTAGGAGTGTCTTACCTAAATAATAGGCTAATGGGTTTTGTCTAATTACCCATAACACCAAATAAGTAGTAGTCAAAGGAGTCATTTTTTTGTGTTTGCAATTTAACATTATTGACAAAATATCTACTCAAACATTATGCTAATGGTTATTTATTAAAATGTAGTCTAGTATGAAAATGAAATAAACATAAGCAGTTAAATTTATACTAAATCTTTAATCAGCTAAGCAAGCCAAAATTTTTCTATGTTGGGTAAGGGGTGTCATGGAGATTCATGAAAACAATGAGAAAATAATTTCCCAGTAAGCACAGTGAACATGGGGACAAATGGCAGGTAGGTCCTTCTGCCACATGGAAATAATAATAAGAGGCCAGTACATTGATCCAACATAGATTGTTTTCTATAAAAGAGGTTCAGTTTGGTTTCAATGACCTTTTCTGAGAAGAAAACATAAAATTTTATTGTGTACACACAGTTAACAAATCTATTTCCAAATAGTTTAGTATTAAACATTTTGAAGCTCTTTATATCTGATATTGAACATTTTATATGGAATCTTTAAACTGTATCTCCAGAAATTCACAGCCTTTTTTAGTAACCCCAAACTTGAAGTTCAACAGGATTCAATTCAAAATAAAGTTACAAAGGCAAAAGAAAACAAAAGCAAATAAATGAAATGGCCCAAACGCCTAATGCTGGAGTGTTTTGGTTTGTCGTTAGTTTTATCTATGGTCCTCAACACAGCACTCTGATATCTTAGCAAGTCACCTCAAACCCAGCCTATTGGAACTCACAGAGATGAATCAGAGGTGTGTACTGGTGACACAGTACCAGACCCAGCATGCTGAGCTGAAAACAAAAAGAATTTTACCTAATATGTCCAGTTTAAAAACTTGTCATTAAACACCAAAAACATTAAAATCTAATTTATACTAATGTGTGCATTGCTGCTGCAGGAAAGAACACAACAGCCACCTTGCCCATGCTCTGCTGAGGGTAACTGGAATGCAGCCCAAATTGAGGGTGGCATTGAGTTATCTTTATTAAAAACAGAAAGGAGTGGGTCAGAAATGGATTTAGGTAGCATATTTCTTATATGTTGTAATGATTTGTTTTTTTTATTTTTCCTTTTTCCCAATAATGAGGATTAATAGATGAAAAAAATGAACCTTAATCAGGCCTACAAGGCCTACAGAATTCTTTGGACCCACTTTCTCAAAAACCAAGTGGGTCTTGCTCGCTGGGCAAGGCAAATGTTACCATTACCAGTAAGCTTGTGATATGTATAAAACACACACACACACACACACACACACACACACACACACACAAACTTAGAGGGGATGCCAAACACCTGTCATAGAGGTCTTCCCACGGATTGTGTTTGACCCTTGGTCCACCTAGGCCATGCCCGCCTTGGGAGCACAGCGTTTCCTACTAAACAGAGCATATATGTGTGTTTAATCAGTAATGTGAGCCAAAGACAACAACCTTAATCTTTATAGATATGATTTGCAGTAATAGGTTTAGGAGGCTTTCTGATTCCCTGATTGTTCTCCAAACTAAACCAACTACAACACCAAAGTTTCAGAGGAACACAATCCTGCTAAATCACAGACAGTGGAGCGAGCAGCCCTGTAGAAATGGGAAGAAGAGAAATCCATGATAGCACAGGTTTACAGCGTCTAACTAGAAATTACTCAATATTATTTGTGTGCTACAAAATCGAACTTAAACACATGGATTTCGCTGAAACAGGACTCAAAAAGGAATATGGGTAGCTGTCAGCAGGCAATGTATTGAGTGTACGTGTGAAGTATGTCATTCACATGAAGTGTCACAGTCACAGAAAAGATATTAAAAAGGCATTCCATATCTGGTAGGGCATTCCATGGTCTGAGTTTAGCTGGTTTGTCCAGGTGTCTTCTTGGTGTAGAGGGGACCACAGGTTGAGATTTATCCACTTGCAACGAAGGAGGTCTGAGACAGCATAGAACAAGCATCAGCTTGCTTGCTGAGGTTCTTCAGCCGCAGGAGCAGGAATGTCTAGTAAGGATAAATCACTCAACTGTGCTCTGGACAAGTAAGTCAGGACACCTGAGGATCTGGCTATGTGGTCTTGCACTTGTTGACTTGTTTGCCTCCATTCATTATTGCAGATGCACTTGTACTTTTGCTTGGCGTCACCCCAGCTTTCGGAACTGTTTCGCCAACATCATGCAAAGATGGTTCTCGGTACATGGCAACTAGAGAGATGAAGAAAGGGGGAGGAAAAGAAGAGGTTATCTGGCTATCATGCAAGAACGACACACCACTTTTTGCACAGACCTTAGCCAGTCTGTGTCTATTTTTGGTGGATCAACCCAATTCCCATTGATAAGAGGTCAACAGTTTAAGGCAGTCATTTCTAATCCATAAATTAAGAAACAGCTTTCAGTGTATTTTCTAATTTATATGTTAAAATATGTACATGCATATGTACATAGATTTTTATATAAGAAAGTTTAAATGAGAGCTATGGCCTCTTTGTAAACCTAAAAAGAAAAGCACACATAACACCCAAGAATGTGTGGTGTTCAATGCTCACACACAGACATAGACTCTCTCTCTCTCTCTTCTCTCTCTCTCTCTCTCTCTCTCTCTCTCTCTCTCTCTCGACCTAATTCTATTTTCACCTGATATCACTAAGCTATTTTTCTCTTCCATGGTTTAAAAGCCACACAGTCACCTTGGGTTCCACTTGAAAGCTACACACAGCATTAGAAATAAAGGTTTCCTTTTGCTTAAACCAGAGCCTTCTATGAATAATTGCTTCTATTTCCTCTCCCACTATCATAGAAGGGATTTTACACAACTAGAGGCAACTGTGTGGCATTTATATTTTTGTATCTATTTTTCTGATGCATTGTTTAAAATATTAAATAATTGGTGTTGGTGGGACAAGGGCATAAAATAGTAACAGTGACTGAGACTAATGTCTGAATGAAAATTGAGAAATTGTCTTGAGTTGTGCCTTGTGACATGAGCACCATAGTAATGTCACTTTTTAGAAAATGCTTTTACAGAGCCTTGGGAAAGGCTATATAAGATTATCTGACATGTGGGAAAATTAGTTGATTTAAACTCATCTACCACCAGAATGTAATTACAGTCAATCTTCCCAGCAGGATCCTTGGGTTTTGAAAGCTTAGGTGTTCTAGAAAAAAGCCCTGGGAGGAGTAGGGCTCAGTGCTATGAGTACTGTGGAAGTATCTTCCATTTGCATCAATATATCCATGCTTTTTCTTAGCATGCTTACAAAGGTAAATGTACACTGAGCTAAATTACTTGAAAATCATGTAAAAGAAGCCAGTCTCTAACACAGGTAGATAACACTTCACAGATGAAAAATTAGTTTTCTCCAGCCGAGTCTAACTGGGTATACAAACCACTCTCAAAGCCTAACACCATGCTTGGCAGTAGATGGCCAAGGTCGTCATGCTTTGCCAAGGCTTTAGGTTTTTTTGTTTGTTTGTTTCCTTACAGGTCCTTCATATACATGTTATGGTTTCCCATTTTGTGTTTTTATGGGATTTCTGTTTGTGTTAATGTGTATCTCTTTGCATTTGACTTCTTCCTTTTCTCTTGGTTTTCTACTTTTTCCTTTAGCTTGTTTTTATTTCATCTAATTTTATTTTATTTCTTTAGATGCCAGGTTCTATTCTAATGACACAGAGAAAGAAAGGGTGTGGTCTTGGGTGGATGGGGGTAGTGGAGATGATCTGGGAGGGTCCGTGGAGGAAGGGACTTCATAATTAGAATATGTTGCATTAAGAAAATCTGTTTTAATTTTTTAAAAAATGAGACAAATAAAGAAGGCTTTCTTCGTTCTTGAAGCATCTCCAATGTCTCACTCTTACTCCAATTAACTTAGGACCCAATAGTATTAAGGTTTTGTCTTACACCATCTATGAAGTCAAGTTGGGTGGTCGATCTGACTGCACTAGAATATACAGAAAAAAATAACAACCTGTGGAAATGTCTATAATTGTCCTAAAATTTTCAGTTATAAAATCTAGACTCTATTTGGGCTTGTAAAGGAGATTGATATCCCTCTAGTAATCCCTAAATGTTTTCTTTCAGAAGTAATGTTTTAAAGGCATAGTATAGCATAGTCCCTTGTTTTGGTTAGAGGACCTCTGTCCAGGAATTATTTTAAAACATGAGAGAATAGTATTTTTCTCTCTTCATATGTATACACCATATACACACAACAGTTCAATTTAAGGCTAGACTACCAAGTAATAATAATATTTGTGATAATGCTGTTTACCCCCACAGCAGGTGAGTCTCTGATATTTTCTGTGGCCCTCTTACTTTTATTATATGTGTCAAACATGACCTACCTATAGGAGAAGAGCTGGGTTATCTCAGTGGGTGGTAATACTGAGGAACTTCAAAGCATCAAGCCTCAAGCATCCTAAAAACCAAACTGAGAAATCCTGTAGATTGACTGGGCTATAACCTACAGGAAGTAATTACCAGCAGCAGGTCAGCCTCTAGAGGGTCCTGGTGGCCTTTTTCTTTTATCACAAGGAGCTGGGCCACCTGTGTAAGCTTGCTTTCTTTCTTATTTTCCTCATTTTGATTCTTAAGAAAACTTTCGAACAGCCTCAAAGTCATTTATTTTTCAGTTCTAAAATTTAATATAAATAACAATCAATGATCCTTCTGGCAGAATAATTAATGAACAAAGTACATATATTTCTAATTAATTAATAGAGCATGGTAGCTTGAACCTTGGGATCTGATAAGAATAAATGTGAAGGAGCTGCTATTTAGAGTTGAAGGTAAGTTCCTTTAATACAAGGAAAATAATTTATGTAGCATGGAAGGGGTATGGATCATTACAGGTCATTTTAAGAATTATAATAATTCAAAGGACATTTTACTCAGATAATCTGAAGATAGGCAAATATTTGAAATTCCATGTGAAAAGGTTTTTCTTATATATTTATTGTTATATGCTTGTAAGAACATAGTTTATTTTTATTTTCAAATAATTGCCTAAAAGTCATGAACTACTTAAAGCATTTGTGATAGTGAGGGTTTGTAGCATTGAAAGGAGTTTTCTGCTGCACACATGCATACAGAGAGAGATGAAGGGAGAAGGGAGAGGGAGAAAGGGAGGAGAGAAATTTTTCTTTTTCTTTTCTTTTTGCCCCAGTTTTGGTATTTAGAACTGAAAATCCTGGCTCAGGCACATGTTCAGTTAGTGTTCTACCCCAGACCTATACTTGGTGCTCACAAAGTTTAGCCAAGAACAGGAGGAGAAATCTGCGCAAACACCATTCCAATAAAGGACATTTCTGTCAACCCATGGAAGATTCCTGTGGCCATGTCAGATGTATCCATGTAAAAATTAGCAGTTTCCAGCGGATAATGTATGTAACATACTCACCTTCCAATGGCTTGGGTAGAAAATGAGCTGCTGGTTTGGTTTTCTTTACTCTGTTCCCTTTCATAACTTGCCCTTCCTTATTTAATCCCAAAAACCAGGCTCTGCCAGACTCCTGTTGCCTGTACAGCATGGATGAGTAGATTACATAATAGTTTTCAAAAACAGACTCTTTAAACTTGCATTCAGGGGTAAAAAGTTCCTATTAGGAGAAAGAAGAGAAGAAAGTTTAAGTAGAAAGCAGAAGCTTCCCTATGTTCATCCATTCTGCATGAATTTTTCTGACATGGTGACCATACCTAGGGGTGACTGGAATTGAGTGCTCCCGCATGCAGGAGCTCTCTATACATAATTTTCATACCAAAGGGACCTGGAGAGTCTGCAACTGGTGGGCATCTAAATGCAAGGGTAGATATCCTTTAATAAGGAAATAAAAAAAGTAAGACAAGCACGGTAGCTCATGCCTGTAATTTGAACATTTAGAAGGATGAGGGAGGTGAGTTGTTATGAGTTTGAAGATAAGTTCCAGGATAGCGCTACCTATGTAACAAGACCTTGTATCAAATCACTAAAACAAAAAGAAAAATAAACCATTTAGTATTTTCAGTTAAGCAGAGCTTAATTCAGTGTCTAACAACCACATTAATGTAAAGTTTACAAAATTTTTAAAATATTACATCAAACATTGTTTCCATAGAAATAACTTTGCAAAACTGTAACAGCAAGTTGACAGTTGTCACTTGGATCATTAGTGTTACATGGTGACGAGTTTATACCATTGAGGAACAGACTGAAAATGCAAACTATTGTCATGACAATCAGATGGCATACAAGTTAACCACCAGATGTATGGATGTGTCACATTGAGGCCAGGCATGCATCATGCTAGCTGACGGAAACCGGAAATAATTACCCAACTTTACACTTTGGAGCCCTACTGAAATTATTGAAGATAAATAGCAAAACCCTGCCCTGACTAAACACTATCCAACAATTTTTGGCAAGAGTGCACTGTGTTAAACAGGTTCAGACTCAATGCCATTAACCTCATTTATTAGTGATCAGCACAAAGTGTTAGTACTATTATAAATATCACAAATATTCACAGATGATTTTATAACTTTATGATACTCTTATTTTGAAATAAATAATAATGAATATAAATGCACGCATATTTATAAAAATACATAATAATGCAGCTTATAAGCATCTTTTGTCAACATCCAACTAAATAGAACTTTAAACTCTAAACTCCTAGTAAGAAACTATGAAAGACACTTAACTGCTTTTTGTAGGAATTATAAATAGGCTATGTGCTATTTTGTACATACAGAAAACAAACATTCAAAAACATATCATAGTGCCACTTACATGTTTGCAACATCACTGTACTAAAAAAAATTCACTCAATTTTCATTTCACCTGAATAGATTTTGCTCCTAAAGAAAATACCTTGTTTATCTGTTAGAAATAAATATGTTATATACACATCCTTTAAGAAGTAAAAAAGGATACCTCTAAGAGTTGAATTATCATAAGAAATGTGTCATAAACACATATGGAAAATGTCTTTCTTTATTTGCTAAAGGAGTGTGAGTTATCTCACACTGATGGTAAGGACAGGGCAGAACTGGCAGGCTGACCAATCCTGTAGCTGGCCAGGCCCAGGACCAGGGTTATGACTTGGCTAGCTACAACATCACCCCAACAGTGATCTGCTAGAGCACGTGAAGGGGTCTGGCCAGCAGACCTAAAACTGCAGGATCTTCACAACATCGGGCAACAACAAAATATTCAGGAAGAGTCCAATTGAAGGTCCAGCATTGTCGTGTAATAGAAACCAGACCAGGACTATGCAATGAATACTTGCAAGTGAAGATATACGGACAAAGGGGCTTACTGCATTACTCATTGTGTCACACTACAGCTTCCATGGTGAGATTTTTAATGGTTTCCTTTAAAATTTTGCTTTGTTTTGGGGGGGGGAAGGGATCAGAGGCAAAGGGTGGATGCAAAGGCACTGAGGAAATGAATGGGATCAAGATGCATGCTGTAAAACACACCGAGAAAATAAAAAGAAAGTAAAAAAAAAGTGTGTTATCAAGCAATATCTTCTACAGTATAAGTTTATTCGATTTGTTCCATAAATTTATTTCAACAGAAGTTAATTTTCCAAGGAGAAATTGATTTCATTAATTCAGATGTTTTTCATGACAAAGATGACAGATGCTATGATCTATAAATGACATTAGCAAAACAAAAGGCTCCTCCTGTTAGTATTCAGGCATCTGTACTGGGCTGTCCTTGGGGTTCTGACAGGATACTCCCTCAGCTGCAGCCACTAAGAGCACCTCCTGTGCACATTAACTACTTTACCTTTTAAAAGGGCCCTGGCACCTTCTATCCTTTCCCTCTCCCTTTCTCCCTTTCTCCGTCTGTTCTTCTCTCTTCTCTCTCTCTCTGCCTCCCTATCCCTCCCTCTCATTCCTCTCTCTGGCCCACTTTGCTCTCTCCTCTCTCCTGCTGCTCTGCCTCTGGAGGCTGGTCACCCCCTTTCCCTTTCCCTAATTAAAAAAAAACACTCTGCTTGAACCCTGTTGCATGCCACCTTTCTCTCCTGCCTTGCTTTTCTTAAATTATATAACCTCCACTGGGATATCTGAGATCTCTGTAGATCTCCAACATACTACCTCAGTTTTTAATAAGATCTTGCCCAAATAGATGTCCTAGCCTTCTTAAATTTCTGTTCTCTATATACCCTCCTATTAGTTCTCTCATTAATAAGCTGAGCCTCACTGAGTCAGGGTCTAAAAGGTGTTGCAGAGGAAATTATATAAAGAGGTGAGGAAAGCTAAAAAGGAATGTTCTAAACCAGACTTATCCCCTGTGATGATTTACTTTCATTGATGACATTTCCTGAATATATATTACTTAGAAAGACAGGTCTTGATAAGGGATATCCTGTGGGCATGTCAGTGAGGGTTGTGTTAAATAAGTTAATTGATGTGTGTAGGCCTAACCCACTGTGGGCAGCAACATTCCTGAATGTTGTCCTGAACTGTATTAGGATGGAGAAATTAGAAAAATGAATCTGAGCACAAGCAAGTGGACTTGCATACACTCATTTCTCTCTGGTCTTGACTCTGTGTGTGGTATGACTAGTTATTTAAAGTTCTTGTCTTGACTTCTCCAAATTACCTGGAATTGTTTCTCTAAGTTGCTTTTAGTCAGGGCATTTTATCACAGCAGCACAATAAAACTTGAAGGCCTCCCAACAGAACAATAAATCTGCCATATTGGTTGAAACTAAGTCTTCTAGGACAAAAATTTGTGTTATTGAGATTGTTAACGTGGAAGAGGTAAGTTTCTCAGTGGACACCTTAAGACTTCATATAGTACTTTTCAGGTGTGTTAGCAACTTTTTTATTTGTGTTTGTGTTGGTGTATGTACATTTACATATAAGCTATAACCGACCATCAGGTTTCTTCCCTTATGACTCTTCATCTTATTTTTAAAGACAGAGTCTTCCCTGAACCTATAGCTCACTGTCTTGGCTAGACTGGCTGCCAGGGAACCTTCAAGATCTCCCCATCTCTGTCCCCATCCAACAATAAAGTTACAGGCCCACATTGCCATGACTCTTCCAGAGGTCCTGAGATCAAGTCCCAGCAACCACATGATGGCTCACAAACATCTCTAGTGAAATCTGATGCCCTATTCTGGCATAAAAGCATACATGCAAATAGAACTCTCATATATAAAATATTTTTTAAAAAAAGATTTATAAAGAACTTAATCTATTCCCCAAATGTTATAGTCCAAAGCAATGTCAGCATTCTCAGGAGAACTGGTAGAACTATACATAGGTGGGACTAGTTATTGTGTAACAGTGACATCTGTTATAAATATACTTATAATATATAAATGGAAGCCAATGGAACAGAAGGATATGATCTGTATGGCCAGACAGCCAAGGTTCAATTAGAGTTTGGATTTTTTTAAGCTAAGTGTTTTGGGGAAGATGATTTTATCTTCCTGGGTTTCAGTCTACACTTCTGAAATGAAGTTGAAATAATATAGAGAGATAAAAAGCTGCCTGGGAGAACTAGTGTGGATTAACTCATTTTAGAACACTCCACATGTAATAAGTGTTCTGATGGAAGCTCCACCACAGTTCCTGGCATCCATATACCCAAAGAGTTGGAATGTTCTGGTGGAATCTTCACCACAGCCCCTGACATCTATATACCCAAAGTGCTGAACACAAATTGTCACCGCTATATACTCCCCATGGCAGCTCTCAAAGTCTTGGACTCTTCTGGTAGAAGCTCCACCCCAAGCCCCCTCTTCCCCAAACCCCGCCCCCCCCTATAAAACCCACCAAACAAGGCTCCTCCCCTAGAGATGCTCAAGACCACTTCCATGATTATTTAACCTGTCCCCCAGAAAACAGACACATGGTTGTTCACTCTCTTCCCTATCTCCTCTCTGGGGAGTACTGGAAAAATCACCAGGAATTATTTTACTCATTAAACCTGGGTTTTTTCTAATTCAGTTTGATTTGGTCTGATTTGGATTGCTGTGTCGGCAGAAAGGCTTATGGGGATACAGAAACTTTTTAAAAAGTTCTCACTAATTGTTATGAAATAAATTATTCATTATATACACTAAAACTTTTATGTATCAATTATTTCAATTCTATCAAATTCCACAGATCTAAATTCAATTACATGACTGGTCAGTAAACATAGCTTTACATCAAGTATTGAGCTCAATGCCAGATATGACAACATGAATAAAATTAGTCATTTATTTAATTTTAAAAGACCATGTAGTACAAACTATTTATGGTATACTAGCAACTTAGATGACAGACTAGACACAGGAAATGCCATGGTACATTTAGAGAACCATAACCAATTTTCACTGAGATACAGGCATTGCTGGGAAGAAACAGATAGTGATTTGGATGGAAAGGCAGGCTGGATAAATGTGATAAAGGGTATTATATGCTGTCAGAGTGACAAAACCTATTGTGAGGAGCATGGCACTCTTGAATAAGCAAGTGAATAATTATAAACATTTAAAGTGACTGTCAGTGTGCAAGAAAATTTTAGAACATAAGTTACATTTCAAGACTAGAGTGTTGATTCCTTATCTTTGGTGAAATGGACTAGGAAGTGTTAAGCAAGGAAATAACA